ATAGTGATAAGATATATCTTTGAGTCTGTTGTTCTGTCATGCAACAACAAATCTCACCGAGTCACAAGTTGGCTTGCCGACCAAGGTTCTTCTCCGCGGCATGTTCAATGAGTGCAAGCGTGGAGAACGCGAGAAAAAGCGAAAACTCAGGGAAGCACCAAAGGGTAGACCCGACTCTAGACCATAAAGATTCGTCCAGGACGACTTCGGGAAACATGGTGGTGGCTGGCTCCCAAATCAACTATCATTGTTACTCACCCGGGAGTTGAAGCGTCAAAGGATGGGTCCAGTTGTTGGCGCATGTCCACATTTAGGGTTCCCAATGAGTTCGACTGAGCTTGGGGGATGACTCGTCCCTGCCTATGGTTTCAAAGCTTTTCAAATGGCTGAAAGAAATAAGTAAGAATTTTAGAAAGGGAAAGTTGATTTTCCTAGTAACTTTTTATTGTATTCATGCAATTTATAAAACATTCTTCGGTTTTGGCTCTTAGAACCCAGCTTCTTTGCAGAGGGGCTCAGCCCCTCTGAATTTGAATGAACCTTTGAGTGCTGGTTTAGGCGGTGATGAGAAGATTTTTAGGAGATTGATCGACTTGAGTATGGCGAGGATATAGATGGAATCAAACAACTTAGTGGCGAGGAGGTTCACCAAATGACGAAAGAGGATAATTTAGAAGAAGTTTCGGGGTGACTGCTTCCCCCATCGATGATGCTTTGGTTCATGGGGAGGATGCGCTGAGCGACCGATTATTCAGCCCAATTGGTCGGTCTGGAGCAGTAGATTGTTGGATTGAAACAATCAGAGGCCTTCCTTCACCAAGATCGTATGGATCTAAGGGAGAAAATCCTGATATATCAAGCTCAAGCGGAATCTGGTTCCTTGAGGCAATTCAAATATGATGGCAATTTTGCGCTTAGGCTACTCATCCAACTGGGTCATCTCCCAGTTGAAGCTATGTCAGACCCTTGCATGGTTTCTTGATTTCTTCAAATTAATGTAATTTTGTATTTAAACTTTAGTAGTAATTTTTATAATGCAGTTGTCGCTTCGATTTTTTTGTGGGAATGATTTGATGGTGTTGTTTCTGCTTTTTGTGCTTTTGATGTTCAATATTTTTTCCTTTTCTTAACCTCACTGTTTGGGCGGTTAGGATTTCCTCGCCCCATATATAAGGGCCTTTGATCATGGTGATATTGTTGCTTTCTCATTTTCTTCTGGTGTCTCTTTCTCTCTCAATCGATCATGTCTTCTTCCTTTTGTCATACAACCATGGAGTTTGTTGAGGCCGTTCTGCTTGGGTCATCAAAGATGGATCAAGAACAAGTTGACAGCCACTATATGTGTTATTGTTCTATAGGGATCAGTTTTGACTGAGCCTCGGACTCCGCCTTTGTGAACAACTAGTTAGTATCTTTTGATTCTATGGGATCGTCCCGGTGCAAGTAATGACAAATTCAATGGCCATTATCATGTCCCTTGTGATCTTCATGTGGCGAATGGAGAACACACTTTGTCAATCGAACTCTTCTATTATATGTTATTTTTGTGCTCCTACCAGAAGGGATTGGTTTAATTCACTTCGGGGAGTAAGAACCACTTTAAGGGCTTGGAGAGCAGGGTGAAGGATTGAAAATACAAGTTTGCTTTATTTCAATGGAGAAGAGTTGGCCGATTGAGACGACCCCTGCTTACACACGTGTGATGATCAAACTGAAACCCCCTTACACTCTCTTGCAACAGGCTTATCGGATCATGGGTACACGGCTTAATGTGCTCAAGTACTTTGACTCTCGGCTGTCGGTGAAGTGCTTGCTCTGAGAGTCACTGGAAACATGAATAAGTACGAGGTGGGAGTTCGTGGATGTCGCTGAAGACAGAGTGGTTTTGAGAGGTGGGAGTGAGTACATCCATTTGATTTCTTCTACTATTATTATTCAAAAAGTGGGGGCAGATGAGTTGATTTTTATCAAAAGAAGGGATATGTGGAGAAGCTAGTGAGTAATTTTGATTCTCTTACAGACACTCTACTCGCAAGTGATGATGGGAGATAGATGACTGGAGAAGGCATGATGGAAAGCGATGGAACGACTGACAGAGCAGAGTTGAGTCGGCCAATGGAAGAGACCCATGGAGCTCTAGTTGTCTAATTGGTTGCGGAGGAAATTAGGTCCCTACCTCCCTTAGCACAATTAATCGACCTTGAGAGGGAGAGTTTTGCTGATTAATGTGGAGTCTGGTCCAAATTCGCTCGCGAAACAGAAAGGGACTATTTTTTATTTTATGTGCTATTTTTTATTTTGATATTTTAAGTTAATGTTTTACTTAATCCTCATGTTTTATGTGTTTCGTATGGAAATCCCCATAATAAATAAAAAATAAATAACGAATAAAAATTATTACGTACGTATAATGGTCTATGATTTCATTGTCTGATTTGTTGAATCGAGCTGCCAGATGTCTTTCAGCAAGTGCTAATCCAACAGCATTAGCAATTCCCTGTCCCAAAGGACCTATACACCAAATACAATAAAAAACAAATGAAATACTTTGGCTGAATCTATATAGGCAAATCGAAGCTTTTGGTTTATTTACATACACACCACAGAATTCTCATATATATTTACATATCTTACACCTAAACTTTGATATTTATATGCTTACCACTCAAATTTTTAACATCAAATAAAAAATATCAGTATTACAAACTTTTTAAAAGTGACACCTTTTAAGGATAGGTTTATAATACCGGAGTGTTATAAATATAAAATATCAAACTTTAGTGTTAAATATGTAAGTACATAAGAATAATGTGGTACGTATGTAAATTTCCCTAATTTTTAATTAGTTTGCAGCAAACCAGTCGTGACTTCAACACCAGGTGTTTCAAAGTGCTCGGGATGGCCTGGTGTTCTGCTGCCCCACTGCCGGAATTGCTTCAAGTCGTCTTCCTAATCAAACAAAGAGGCAAAAACAAAAAGATCATGAGTCCCATCAAACAAATTCCAAGCATTTGTTGAGTTTTCAGAAATAAAATCCTCGTATTCTGACATAGAATTTCTAGTTGCTTTAAAAGCTAGTTCTTATGTTGAAAAATGGTCAATTTTAAGCATATTTCGATTTCGAATATAAATAAAACAGTTTTTTGGAAAATCAAACTGGTCAAAAGTGGAACAAACTGAAGCCTGGGCCTAGCAACCAAATAAAAGATCTTTTCCAACCCATAGAAGGGGAAGAAAAAAATTTACAAGTAACAACATAAATTGAAGAATTGGGTGGTATAAAAATAAGAAGTAAACAACTTAAGGTATTAGACATGTAAATACATTAAGAATGGGGTGGTACACATAAATGTCCCTATATATAAACAACTCCTTGGGGGAAATAAAAGTAAAATGATGGTGTGAAACTAAGCCAAAATTGAAACTTTATGAGATGCCCAAGATCAAATTTTACAATTTTACGATACAGTTTACCAATACATGCTAAGTTAAAAATCATCAATATATAATTAGGCAATCAAACAAGCAGGAGATCAAAAACAAACATTAGAAGGCCGCCTTTCTGCTACAATAACTCACCCGGACGCTATCATAGCCAGCGAGGTGGAGCAGCGCATACTGGAGCATGCATCCGTGGCCGGCGGAGAGAACGAAGCGATCACGATTAAACCAGTAAGGGTTCTTGGGGTTATACCTCATGAACTCGTCGTAAAGGATGTGGCCCAACGGGGCGCACCCCATGGGAAGACCCGGGTGACCGGAGTTCGCCTTTTCGACTGCATCGATTGCCAGGAATCGGATCGTATTTATCGATTTCTCAATCAGCTCCACCGTTGCGGTTTTCACTTCCAGCGCATTGACTGACGCCGCACGAGGATTGGATGACCGGCGACAGTGCGCCGTGGCGGCTCGCCGGCGTGGGACGGACCTGAAACTGTGGGTTGGGCTTGTTGAAACGAGAGGAGCAAGAAGCGAGTGTTGCGGGAGGAATCTGTTTTTCTGAGAGAAGAGAATTATAGGCTGATAGATGAGTTTCTTGTACAACGGGAGGAAGGGATGGGATCCGTCGGATTGGAAGGGGGAAGAGATCTAGATTGTTGAAAGAGGATAGGAAATGAATGCCTTGAATTCATTTGACCGTTTGCAGCCGTTGCTGTTTGCTTTTCACTTTCAGCCTTTCGTAATGATTTGGGATGAGGATTCTGAATTGGCCGGACCTTCAATTATACTGCAAAAATTATTACATGTGAATGAAATAGAGGGGAAAGATGCAAATTTCATTGCATTTTTAGTCGTATGTGCGCATGCCTATGGATTGGATGTATTTTAAAATGTATTTAATACGTCCTTATGACAATACTCTAAGCACATTTTAAAATACACTTAATCTGCACTGATCCTCATTTACCTAATTCACGTTTTATAATTTTTCTTTCTGCTGAGCCTGCTGCATTCCCAACATACTGCCCACATTTGGGGCACTCATGCCAAACACTGCCAACATAATAATTAGAATAATAATAATAATAATTTGAAATTTTACAAACATACCACACAATTCTTATCCAATTCACATTACTTTTTTCACACATGTGATAAATGAGCAAAGTATAATAAAAACTGAATAATTTTTTAGTAGAAAGCAATTTCTCTATTACAAATCACAACAGCTAATGTGATCTTGAACTTTCAGATCGTATGTAATGATGAATAAATAAAATAACACGAAGAATGATTTACGAACATATCACTCAATTCTTATGTAATTACATATTTAACACCAAAATTTTAATTTTTATTTTAAATGTAAAAATATAATGATATTTTCCATGTGATATGAAAGATAATATTTGGGCGGTATTATTGTAAGACCTAAAATTTAGGTGTTTTATATGTAAATATGTAGGAATTGGGTTGTATCTTATATGTAAATGCCAAAAAATAAATAAAATGACGATCCACCAATAATAGAATCAGAGGGACAAGAACCTACCACTTCAACAACAAAAGAGGCTGGGGGTGGAAGAAAGAACAAAACGACTATACATAATGCACTTCAATGTTTCTTGTGTAGAATTAATAAAACCCAAGTGAGATTCAGAGAGAAAGTTCACTTTGATACAACAATCAGATTCAATGACGTACAAGAGAAAAAAGTGCAATAAAAAATTGCAAAGCTTTATTATTATAGACAGAAAACGTATCCGAATCATCTCAACCTGAACTGCTCTCCCATCTGTATCTAAAATCTCCATTAGAGCTCAGAGTGATCAGAACCACCTTGCAGAGAAGAAGCTTCAAAACAATGCATAGTTTATAAACTCCTCGCTGCCGCAAGGACAGCTTCCGTCGTCAAACCGAACTCCTTGTATAGTCTCCCCGCCGGAGCACTAGCACCAAACCGGTTGATGCCGATTGCCTTCCCCTTCCTGCCGACGAATTTCTCCCAACCAAGCGTTGCTCCAGCCTCGATGCTAATTCTAGCAGTGACTTCTTCAGGGAAGACACTCTCTTTGTACTCATCGGACTGTTCATCAAATAACTCCCATGAAACAAGCGACACAACTCGAACCGTCTTCCCCTCCTTCCTCAGCTCATCGGCAGCTTTGGCTGCGATTTCCAACTCAGAACCAGTTCCTATAAGAATGATATTTGGCCTGTTGTCAGACGAGTTGTCAGAGACGATGTACCCTCCCTTCTCAACTTTTTCAATGGAAGTCCCTGCGAGCTGAGGAAGCTTCTGCCTGGACAGGGCGAGGATTGATGGTCTCTTCTTGTTAAGAACCGCAATCCTGTAAGCTCCAGCAGTCTCGTTCCCATCGGCTGGCCTGAGCATTAAAATGTTGGGCATTGCTCGGAAGCTCATTAAATGTTCGATGGGCTGATGCGTCGGACCGTCTTCACCAAGACCGATGGAATCATGAGTCATGACGTAGATTACTCCAGCTTCAGATAGGGCTGATATCCTTATCGCACCTCTCATGTAGTCGGTGAAGACGAAGAACGTTGCGCAGTAAGGGAACAGGCCAGGGCTGTGGAGTTTAATGCCGTTGCAAATGGCACCCATTCCGTGTTCTCTGACACCAAAACGCAGATTTCTCTCTTCCGGGGTGGCTTTCTGAAAGTCCCCGAAGCTTTTTAACAAAGTCATGTTGGAGCTTGCGAGATCAGCACTGCCTCCGAGGAAACCAGGAAGGACCTTCGCAAGTGCGTTAAGGCACTGCTGAGAGAGATTCCGAGTAGCGTCGGCGCTGCTCTCGGGGGTGTAACTCTGAATACGAAAATAAATAAAAAAGGCGATACTTTTGATGACTTCATGAATTAAATAAATAAGGAAATCATAATAATAGATATTCAGATTTACATACCGGGAGTGCTTTCTCCCATCCTAAAGGAAGTTCTCCAAAGATGATGCCTTTTAGTTCCGACGCTTCCTCCTTGTACTTCTGCTCGTATTCTGCAAATTTAGCATTCCATTCTGCTTCAAGAGAAGCACCTTCTGAGTCATGGCGGCTCCAATGGCTGAAAAGATTCCTCTTGTGATAAAAGAGTTAAGATGAATAAGAAACATACGAAAGGTAGTGTAAAATCTGCAGACCTTTTGACATCCTCAGGCACATAGAAAGGTTCATAGGGCCAGCCAAGGTTCTGCCTGGTTGCGTCAACTTCCTTTGTACCTAAAGCACTTCCATGAACACTATATGAGTTTGCTTTGTTTGGTGAGCCATAACCAATGGTTGTTGTAACCTGCAAAAATATGAAATTCAACAAGACTGAAAGGAGAGAGCTCGAGAACAAAAGAACAACAAAATGGCAGACCTTGATCAATGTGGGTTTGTCCTTGACAGCCTTTGCTTCCTTTATTGCAGCTCGAATCTCGTCATAGCCGGTGTTTCCGTTCTTCACCCAAATGGTGTGCCAACCAAGAGCCTCAAAGCGGGCGCTCACATCTTCAGTGAAGGCAATCTCAGTGTCCCCATCAATGGATATGTGGTTATCGTCATAGAAAGCTATGAGTTTTCCAAGGCCCCAGTGCCCAGCAAGAGAACATGCTTCATTGGAAATGCCCTCCATTTGGCAACCATCACCAAGAATAACATATCTAAAATAGAAAGAAAGCAATAGAAGTACACATTATTTCAGTACATTTTTTGAAAGGCCTAGACAATAAAATTAAGTGGGGTTTACATTTACATATGTAACATCTAAGTTTGGCTATTTGCATTATGTAAAAGTTTGTTAACATAACTCATTCGCATGCTTGGACAAAAAGGCTAATTGCTAATAGGCAAAATGGGTGATTAGGATTAACAAGGAGCTTCCTAACTATGATTAAATGAACAGGTTAACTAAGACCAGAAGATAAGGCCGACCAGGATCAGGGAGAGATTGACTAAGATCAGATGAATCATGATGAAAAGTGTTAGACATCTGTTTGTTTTATTTTCATATTTAAAGTGTTATGCATTTATGTAAATAGTAAAGTTTAGAAGTGAAACATGCAAATGCTCATGTTATGTGTGTTATGCATGCAAATCACCCTAAAAATTAACAAATAAATAACGATTAAAGACTATAACGTACGTATAATGGTCTATAATCTCATTGTCTGGTTTGTTGAAACGAGCTGCTAGATGTCTTTCAGCAAGTGCTAATCCAACAGCATTCGCAATTCCCTGTCCCAAAGGACCTATATACCAAATACAATTATGACCAAATGAACTTCCTTGACTGATTGTATAAACGTAAATAGAAGCTTTTAATTTATTTACATACACACCAGACAATTCTTATATATTTGCCCATGCTTTGATTTTTACATATATATATATACCAGTCAAATATTTAACAGCACATCAGATATACTACTATTACTGATTTTTAAAAGTGGAATACACTTTCTAGAATAGGTTTATAATACTAAAGTGTTATAAATGTAAAAATCAAATTTTAGGCCTTAGATATGTAAGCACATAAGATTTGTGTGGTACGCATGTAAATTTTCCTAATTTTAAATTGCTTTGAAGCAAACCAGTTGTTACTTCAACACCAGGCGTTTCGAAGTTCTCGGGATGGCCTGGTGTTCTGCTTCCCCACTGCCGGAATTGCTTCAAGTCCTCTTCCTAATGAAACGGAGTTACAAAAAAAAAAAAAACATGATGAGTAACATCAAACAAATTTAATATCGAACTGAAGCAAAGGCTTTGTTGTGTTGTCTGAAATCCTCGTAGTCCCGCAGAGAATTTCTAGTCGCTCCAGAAGTCAGCTTATATGCTCATGAAAAATGGTCAGTTTTAGGCATATTTCGAAAATAATAAATGCTATTTTTTGCGAAATTAAATGTGGCAAAAGTGGAACCAAGAAAAGCCTTGCAAGGGACAAAATGATCTTTTCCCATGAAAATAAGGTCTAATTATTAGGTGCGGAGCACGCTCTCCGATCACAGCTGCACATCATGACAGTGCATACAGTGCCCACTGTCATACAACAACGATGTGCGGCTGTGATCGGAGAGCGCACGCAGCTCTGTGTGCGCTCTCCGCACGCAGTAATGGCTCCATACAAGAGGAAGAAAAAAAAAAAATGCAAATAACAACATTAATTGCAAACATCTGTCTCTATCACACGAATGACCGTTAATTTCATAATAAATCAAACCTCCAATACTCAAAAAATAGTTATTAAAACTCTTAAAATTATTTTCAATATCTTATAATCCAATTTCTAAAAATTGGCTTTTTTTTTGTTGTGGCATAAAAAATTTGGGTGGTACAAACATAAAAAAACAAAATTGAGGTGTTGTACGCGTAAATACATAAAGACTTTGGTGGTATATACGTAAATGCCACTGTATACATTTATATTTATATAAACAACTCCTAGGGGGAAATAAAATAAAATCATGGAGTAAAACAAGCAAAAATTAAAACTTTATGAAATAACCAAAATCAAATTTAACAATTTTACAATACATGCTAAAGTAAAATCATCAATAACTAGGCAATCAAACAAGCAGAAGATACAAAGACAAACAACAAAACAGAGTTGTCTTCCTACTACAATAACTCACCCGGACGCTATCATAGCCAGCGAGGTGGAGCAGCGCGTACTGGAGCATGCATCCGTGGCCGGCTGAGAGGACGAAGCGATCGCGATTAAACCAGTAAGGGTTTTTAGGGTTATACCTCATGACCTCGTCGTAAAGAATGTGGCCCATTGGAGCACAACCCATGGGAAGTCCCGGGTGACCGGAGTTCGCCTTTTCGACGGCGTCGATTGCAAGGAATCGGATCGTATTTATGGATTTCTCAATCAGCTCCACCGTAACGGTTTGCACATCCAGCATCTCGATCGCCGCCGCACGAGGATTCGATGACCGGCGGAAGGGTGCAGCGGCGGCTCGCCCCGGATCTGACAGCAAGGCCGGAAAGCGAGCTAAGGCCGAAGCCGGTCGGAAGGGAGAGCCGGTCCTGGTGAGCCGGGGCGGCCGAACCGTGACGGGAGATGGGGCGCCGCCCTACGATGGCTTGTGCAGCGGTGATGGAAGATGAAGCGGCCATGGATGCACACTCTATCTAGTTCGCACTTTTTCGCTCTCTCTCGGAAACGAGAGGAGAGTGTTGCGGGAGGAAATTGTCTTTGTGAAAGTGGAGAATAATAGGTGGACGAAAGATCAGTTTCTTGGATAAGGGAAGCGAGGGATGGGAACCTTGGGATTGTAATGGGGAAGAGATCTGGATTGTTGAAAAGGGGTAGGAAATGAATGCCTCAGAATTCATTCGGACCGTTTGTAGCTGCAAAAATATATTACATCAGTATTCCCGTGTAGAGTAGAGTTAAGTGCAGAGTCTAATAAAATCATGTCACAGGAGAATATTCCCAGTAACACAAGTAACACGGGAGAATATTTCCCCCATGTTATTTAGTGTTATTGTATGTTATTCATGTGTATTCATGTGTTATTGTGTTCTGAAAATATTTATGATGTTATAATAACACAATAACATATCAATAACACTTGAATAACACATAATAACACCTGAATAACAAGGGTGGAATATTCCTCTGTGTTACCGGACCGATTTTTTTTTTCTCAACTTCACGTGTGTATCTTCACATGTGTAGCGTGATTCATTGGACTCCGCACATAACTCTATATGCGGAGTCATAATGTAATATTTTTTCTTGTAGCTGTGGTTGTTCGGGCTAAATTTTTAAAAGAAGCTTAAAATTAGGCTTAATTAGCATTAGGAGCCAACTGGGGAGGGATTAAGCAAAATGAACAAAAACTCAAGAAGCGTGGGTTTGCATTTTAGGCCCCATTTGGGATCCGTGTTTGAGAACTTTTTTTGTTCGAATGTTTCTTAGATGGGGGCTGCAGGGATGGAGTGTTTTGCGGCTGGAGCTTCGTTGTGAGGTGTCAAACATGTCGCTGCCCCTTTGAATCTCTAGTAATCTCACATCTTAATTCTCGCATATACCCCTCACCACTCTCCTCCTTTGTCATCAGTCGTTATGGCTGAAACCTGGTTTCGCTCCCCTCCCTTTGTTGTCGGCGTCGTCGATTTGCTGCCTACCTTCGATGAAGTTTGCTCCTTTATGGATTTTTTTTTGTTTATTTGTTGTCTATCTCTGTGTTTCTTTTTATTTATTATGTGGAATTTTTTGTGTTCTTGTTCTGCATATATATTCAATGACGTTCGATGGTCGATTAGCTTGTTTTTTCCCATACACATGTGTAGATGAATAATCTAGGTGGATATTTCTGAGCACCTATTCATTTTTTATTCTAGTATTGCATATTTTTTACGTGAATTTGTAGTTTGCAAGTAGAAACGTTAGCAGCATTTGTACTAATCCTGATCAAGTAGTAGAAGCTATGGAATGAAAAATTATGAACATTGTACACCTGTTTCTTTAAGAATTCTTTGTGGATTTGTTCTACATATGCTTTCATTATGTTAGTTGGTCGATTTGTTTGTGGTTGCCTCCTATACAAAGTTGGGCAACATTTTGGGGGGAGAATATTGAGCATTGTTTCCCGTTTTTAGAATATGAGATAATTTTATAAATGAGAGTACATGTGCGTTGATGTAAAGTTGGTCGAGTTGCTTTCACTGATGATAGTTCTACATATGATAGTTCTACATATGTTTTAACTGATGTTAGTTGGTCGATTTGCTTGTGCTTGCCTCCTATGCAGAGTTGGGTAACATTTTGGGTGGAGAATGTTGAGCACTGCTTCCCGTTTTTAGTAGATAAGATGGTTTTATAAATGAGAGTACACGTGCATTGTTGTAAAGTTAAAGTCAACCAGTCGAAGATATGGAGTAAAATATTTATGACCATAATTGATCTATTTCCTTAAGAAATCATTTTCTAGAATATGTGAGAATTTTACAAATGGAATTGCTTATGCATTCATGCAAAATTATAGTTTGCATAATTAAAAAGCTAGCAACATTTATACATATCTTGATCAACCAATACAAACTATGGAATGAAATATATATGAGTATTATTCATATGTTCTCAAATATTTCATTTTTATCTTTGCAAATAAAATTGCGTATATTTTGATGCAAAGTTGAACTTTACATGATAAATTAGTTGGCAGCACCTATCCCTATCTTGATCAGCTAACAGAAAAAATGAAATGAAATATATACGAGCATTATACATTTATTTCCTTTAGAACTCTTCATGGACTTCTACTACATTTGCATGCATTGATTTTACTTGGTCAATTTGCTTGATATTGCCTCCTCTTCAATGTAGAGTAATATTTTGGGGGAAGAATGCTGAGTAGTACTTCCTTTTTAATTTTTCAGAGACTTTTATAAGTGAAATTGCATATACTTTGCTACACATTTGAAATTTACAAGATAGATAAGTTAGCAATATTCTTACTTACATATCATGATCAACCAGTAGAAGCTATGGTAAAATATATATAAGCATTGTTCATTTGTTTATTTCAGATTTTTTTTGTTTATTTTCTTTATATGGCTATATGAGCACTGCTTTATAGTCTCTCTGAGAAAATTTGTTGGTCAAATTGCTTGCTCTTGCCTCCTCCTCAATGTAGAGTAACACTTTGGGAGGAGAATGTTGAACACTGCTTCATTTTTTTAGTTTTTCTGAAACTTTTGGAAATATAATTGCATATGTTTTACTGCAGAGTTGAAGCTTGCATGATAAATAAGTTAGCAACATATTTTCCTGTTCTGATCAATCGGTATAAGCAATGGAATGAATCTAGATACTAAGCATTTAGCAGAAGGTCGTCATCCTATATAAGGCGATTGATTCTATCAAAAGATCAATCCACCTTATACACACTCTTATAAAAATCAAGAGAACAAGAGAAACCGTCCATAACAACAGTAAAAAGGTAAGGGGATAGGGGAAACCCTTGGCTAAGGCTAGATGTAAAAGAAAAGAATCCTTGAAGTTCATTGTTATAACATAAAAGTGCACTTTGACAGTACAAGACTTAATCCATCCCACAAATTTTGAAGAACAGCTCATTTTGTGTATTATGTTGTAAATGAAGCTTTAGTTAACAAAAGTAAAAGCTTTTTTGAGATCAGTATTGGAACATTAGCATTTAGAATGGCTAGAAGAGTTAAAACCTTGCAAAATTTCACTAGTTGTTGTGATATTGTCAGCAATATCCCTCTAGTAAGGAAAACAACATAGGAAGAATGAATTATATTAGTGAGGATGCATTCAAACGTATCAACAATAAGCTTAACAATGACTTTAAACATGATATTACAAAGAGAAATATATCCATAATGAGAAGAGTATCGAGCATTTAATGTTTTGGGAATGAGAATGAAGGCAGAGTGCTTCACTCTATTAAGAATCTTAGAAGCAAGGAAAAGATGTTTAATTCCTTTAATACAGTTTTGACCTAGGGTTTCTCAAGAATCGATGAAGAATTTAAAATTTAATCCATCTCGACCTGAAGCCTTGTCAGTACCTATATGAAAAAAAAAGAGTTTCTTAATGTCTTCATTTATAAAATCAACAAGCAGCATATCACTTTTAGGTTGAGAGAGAAGCTGGTCCACTGAGACGAGTAAGGAGGTATTAGAAGAGGAGGGACTGCTTATAAGCAAAGTAAGGAAGTAAGTGATAAACTCTTTGATTATGCTTTGTTTAGTATTGATGTACTCATTGTTAGAAATCAATTATTAATGAAGTTTCAATTAATTTTGTTGTCGAATCTCTGATAGCAAAATCTTATGTCATCCTCTCCCTTAGAAAGATAATAACACTTAGCTTATTTTCTAATCTAAGAAGTTTCGCAAAAGATGACCTCTATAAGCTTGTTCTAAATTTGGATACTTTGTGAAAGGAGGTCATTAAAAAGAGGTTGGGCATTCAAAGCATGATGAATGCTATTTTGAGAGTTTTGTAAATATTTAATGAGATCAAATAAGTACCTATGAGAAACCCATTTAACAACTAACAGTTTTTTTTTTTAATATTTTTAATTTATTTTAATGAACAAATATAGGATCCTCTTTAACTTGAATATTCTAGGATTGATCTGCAATGTTGTGAAAGTCAATGCATGGATTCCAACAATTTGTATGCATGAATCTACATTTTGGAGTGAAGCAAGTGTCCATGGAGAACAAAACTGGAGAGTGGTCAAAATTGGCCTGGAGCACTTTATAAGAGGAAAGAGGAAAGCAATCCAACTATACACTATTCCCTAAGACTCTATCAAACAAATATCGTATGGGATTGTCTTGAAAGAAGAATCGGTGTTAAGCAGTTCATAAAAGCCACTTTTGAAAATAAATGAATTAAAGTCCATGATTTTGCTAAGGATGGGAGGGTTGGCGTACATAAATGTTAGTTGCAAGGGATGAAATAGAGATCCAAAGCTTTTTCCTTTGAGTATTATTAGCAAACACAAAAAGTGACTAGAAAGGCAGTAAAAGGAGAGTATTTCACAATTCCATGGATGTCTTGAGGTTTGGAATCCAACACAAAAAAAACACAGTGCTAGAATTCCATTAATCCAATTTGTTTTGTGCTGAGAAGCAATGAAATTATGAGTGCAGTCCTCATTGGGAAGAAGAGAAAATTGCTTTAAAGAGAACGTGTTAGAAATATATTCAAGGCTTAGTTTTGTCATAAGAAGACAAAAAAGATCAAGTTTGTGGATCTTAATAAAATTCCTACAAAAATTTGATTTTAACATATTTGTTAAAACCTCTAATGTTCCAAATAGATTTATTGGGATAAAGCATAGGAGAGAAGCTATTGTGTTAGAGATTCACTCCCTTTAAGTTAACCTTTTCTTGGCCTAGTTAGGGAAATATGAAGAGGTAGGGTGTGTGGGTGGGTGGG